AGTCTCAGTAGATTAGACTGCAAAAGATGCCAGAGTTATGTGCAGCTTTTTGTGTTTTTGGTTGCATTTTGCTATTATAACATAATGTTCAGAGCCAACTAGAGGCCACCAGAGTCTGACTATATCAACTTGGCATACGCGTAGCTCTGAAAGATCCAACTTTAAAGGAAATCAAATACACTAAGACACAGATTATCAAGGGTTTCACTTACATTAGCCTTAAATCCAAAGTGATTTTGATTATAAACTCCTGAATGACCACCAGAGTATGAACCTGATTGTAATTAAAGAGCAACCTAAGGTTTCCTAAAGACAAGGAGTTGAGGAGGCAGTGGGGAAGTAGCAGCAAGGAGGCAAAGTTTTCCTTCTAGTGAGCTCTGCAGCGAGCACTTCAAACCAGAGGACTCTGACAGGGCTGGTCAGACCGACAGGATAAGAGATGGAGCTAAACAGTCTGTCTGCAGTCCAAACAGTAAGTGAGTCATCAGGAATCAATCTGTCTCTGGGTCGTCTTGTGAGGAACTGGTCTCTCCTAGTCATCTGCAAATCGTTTATTTACTTATTCAACTGCTGCTCTAATGTTTTACTGCTACAACAGCCCATGTTACACCATATAGCAGTTATATTAAAACTACTATACAGTAAAAATAGGATGGAACATGTGATGTAAATCACTGGTTTAACACCTGGACTTCCCATCTGGTGATCATTTTCCTACTTTATTTCTTACGTCATTGTTACACTGCCTGCTCTTGGTGCCTTTTTAATTGCCCCCTGTGGACAAATAACGTTTTCTGAATCTGAACAAACATGTTTATCTGTAACTGCTATATTATGCTGCGATGAAAGTACAGAAAGCAGACTGCCAGTGTCTCACGATTTGATTTATATGGGCAAGTTTTGTTCCATTTTTCTCAGTGATGGTCAATGATTAGTAATAGTTGAAAAGATAAGAAAAGATAAACTTTAGGAATCACCCACTGAGGAAATTCACAACACAGCAGCTATACACAAATTCAGCACAGCAAGGAACAAGACAGGAAAAACCAAAGATAGGGAGAAAAATAATACAGACTATGCACACCTTTCACATGTACAGACCTGTATTCTCACAGTATGTGGAATTGGGCCTATTTTTTTATTTTTTTGCAGGGTAACAGCACTTTATTTCTGCAATTAAACTTGGAAAGAAAAAGAAGCAGCGTGACATTTTGTTGCTACAGAACTGCTTCACAAATTTGCATGAGTATGTCACAAGTATCAATGTTTCATTTACAGCAAGTTACAGTTAATAAGGACAAGAAACACTGAAATGAAAGAGACTTAGACAGAAAAGTTGTTTCCACAATGTAAAAGATATTCTGTACATTTACTTATAATATATAGGGGACGA